TCTTGCGGCGCACCGGGAGCGCTCAGCGCCCCCGGGTGGAGGCGCTGGGGCCGCCCGGGACTGCTCGGGTGGGGGCCTGCTTTGGCCAGCTGAGGCTCCTCGGGAGGCCTGTCGCTTGGCATCGCTCGGACGTGTGCATTTTTTCCTTCGGCGAGGGCCATCGAGGAGCATCCTTGATCATTTGGCGAAAAAGCCAGGCACGAAACCGAAAAAAGCACAGGGAATGGACGTCCGAGCGATGGCCAGGTCGAGGCCAGCCGGGGCTGCCTGGGGGAGGCGCCTGTGCGCAACCCGAAGCCTCACCAGAGGCCCTCGGACGGACGGCGTCGGGGGAGCAATCCACCTTGGGGGATCGGTGGCTGCAGGAAGGTGGCCCCAAAGGGGCCCTGACTGGCCCCTGAAGTGCCCCCGCGGGCCCAGCGAGGGGTGCGTGTCTCTCCCACTCCCTTCGTGAACGAACGCCCGAGGCTCTTCTGCTACTGGTGCGACAGGGAGTTCTACGACGAGCAGATCCTGATACAGCACCAGGTGGCCAAGCACTGGACGTGCCCGGAGTGCCGGTCCGGCAGGGACAACGTGAAGCTCGGGAGGTGCAACACCTTGCATGGGCTCATCATCCACTACCGGAAGGTTCACACCGCCGAGCTCCGGGCGGTGCCGAACGCCATCGAGGGCAGGGAGGACCCGTACGCTGGCATGAACATCTTCGGCACCAGGCACGTGCCAGAGCACGTGCTGGCAGAGTGGCGCAAGAAGTCCGCCGCGCCCGTCATCCACGGGCACGTCTTCGGGGCGGTCCCGTCCCTGGAGCCCGAGTCCGTGATCCCGATGCCTCCCGAGGACCAGGGCTGGACCTAAACGGTGTTTTGGCGATTTCGTGGGCCGGTTTCGTTTCGACTCCGTTTTGCGGCAGAGGAGGATTAAAGCTTACACGCGCGACAACGAAAACAGGCCGAAAACGAAACAAAATCACACCGGTTAGGTTCAGCCCTCCGGAGAGGACCACGCTCCGCCCCTGCCGGCGGGCGCGTCCGACGCCCCCGCGGCGGCGGCGGAGCAGACCGGCGCCTCGGGGAGCGCGGGCGGGCAGACGGACTGGGCCAAGCAGCTGCGGGAGTGGATGGCCAAGAAGCAGGACGGCGGAGGGCGCTGGGCGGGGCCCCCGGGCCGGGGGGCCGAGGCAGAGCGCCAAGCCCTCGACGTCTGGATCCAAGGCGGGCCTGTCCCTGGGCAGGGGGAGTGTTCGAACACAGAAACACAACAGTAGGCCGGGGGCATGACTTTAAAAGTAGGATGTGTTTGCATGTTTGGTTTACTTCTCTTGTTGTTTCTTGCAACATCCGCCTGCAGGGGGACACGCCCGACCTAAATCTAGCTGCCAGCCTGAGCAGTCCAGATGAGGAGCCCATATGTCTGGAGAGCCACTTTGAATCACTCTGGAAGGGCACTGCTACGTACGCCTGCACCTGGCCAGGCCGAACCTGGGCCCCGGATCGGCGCGTGCGTGTGCGCCAGCCTGCCCAGGCCGGGAGGGCGTAGACTCAAGTCGGGCATGTCCTTCTACAGGAGGAGTATTCGAAAATAGTAAAAGAAATAGCCTGGAGACGATTTCTGTATTGGGTATGGTTTGAATGTTTTTATTTTTCGTCCAGAATCCGCCTGTAGGGGGACATGCCCGACCTAAGCGTAGACGCCGGCCCTGTGCCCAGGACGACGAGCCGGGCCAGGATCGGGGCAGCTGTAATGTCAGCATGTGATTGACAACCCCCCCCCCGCAGGGGCTGGTGGGTAGTTAGACCCCGCGGAGCGCGAAGCCTTTTTTTATCACGCGCGCCAGGGGGACGTCGCTGGCGCGGCCGCGGGCGCCACCCCGCGATTCGCCCGAGCAGGGGAAGTATCTTTTTAAACGCGCGCCCCCCACGGATTTGTTTATCACAAGCTGACAGTGCACACCCGAGCGACGGAAGAACACGGGGCCGTCTTCACCCACATCGGCGCGCAAGCTGCCCGCGCAAGGCCGCGCGTGAGCGCCCTCGCCTCCCATGGGGTGGCGCGTCGCACTGGCGGCCCGCGCAAGCCACCGCGCAGGGCCACCGTGCCCTCTCTCGCGCAGGGCCCTTCCTCTTATGAACGCTCGCTTCGAGATCCGATGTCGTGTTTTTTTCCATGCGGGGTCCCTGCAGGTCCCAAACGCGTTCCCCGGGGCCAGTTTTTCATCCCGAGTCGTTTCTTGACGGTCCTGGGGCCCGGCGAGGGCCCCATGGAGGCCGAGAAGGGCGAAACACCTCCCTCTTGCTTTTGTCAAACAGGCGTGGGATCTCCGGGCACCCATTGGCCTCCCCTCACAGGAGGAGGAGCGGCGCGAGGCGGCCGCGAGCCCCGGCCCGGCCGCGGCCGTCGGCGGGCTCCCCGCGGGCGGCGGCGGCCCCTGCGGCAAGGGGGGCGGCGGCTTCCCCAGCCGGGGCGGCCCCAGCGGGCCCGGGCCGCCGGCGGGCGCCGAGCTCGCCGCGCGGGGGCCGCCGGGCGGCAGCGGCGAGGCGCTGCCCGGCAGGGGGGGCGGCCTCGGCGGGGGCGAGCCGCCCGGCCTCAGGTCGGCACGGTCGAAGGGGGGCACGTTATCTCGGGGGTGGACAGAACCCCCAACAGTGACACGTCGATTAGTGAATTGTCCGTTTTCAGTTCTCGAGAGGGCGCCGTGGCCGCTATTTTCCAGGCTTGCGCCCGCCAGGTTTGGGTCTCAGGTCGTTTTCACTAAACCACGTTTTACTAAAGGGGGGTCTGTCCATCCCCGATTATCCGCGAGATGCAACGGGTTGAGAAAATCAAGAGGGAGGTTTGTCGCTCTCCTCGGTCTCTAGGGGCCCTCGCAGGGCCCCAGGACCGTCAAGTAACGACGCAGGACGAAAGACCGGTCCCGGGGAATAGGGGTCGGGACCTCCAGGGACCCCGCATTGAAAAAATCACGACATCGTATCTCTGGGTCTAGTGAGCGTTTTTTGATTCTTTTGCCGATCGGCGCGGGCCCTAGTATCATCCCCCCCCTGGAGTGGATCTTGGCTGTTTTTGGGCGCCTGTTTCGAACAGGTGGAGCCTCCCCCATAATAAACACCCTGTTGCAAACAGTCGCTTTAAGCAGAGGTCCGGAGCCAGCCCCCCGGCCTCCACCCCCTTCCGCCCAATGTCGAAACGCCGAATACAAAGAACGCTCACCCAGGCCTCTTATATGGGGTCCGAGTAGATGGTGCCGGATGATCGCGCCGCATTGCGGATGCATCGGCGATGCGGCTCGATGCGCGGAGCCCGAATTTCTCCACGCCGACGTCGCCAGTGCATCGCTTGCGTTGCCAGCGTATCGCCGATGCATCGCCGATACACCGGCGATGCATTGGCGACGCGGCGCGATCCTTCGACCCCATCTTCTCGGACCCCGTCTAGGAGGCCTCTAGTACGGAAAGCCGACCCCTCCCCCCCCAGAAGGTCCACCTTGGGAGTGTTTTTTACCTCGACCGCGTGCTCCTATATACTGCTCCCCCGATCGCTCGCCACTCCTCGCTCCCGCTCCCCAGCCTGCTTGGGGGTGGGGGCGGGGGGGGGTCCAGCCCACGGACAGAAGACTGGGCACGGAAACCGACGGCAGTTCCTGCCCGCTCTGGGCAGGGGTCGCTGTCGGGGCTGCCGTGGGCGTTGTCCGCTTTGAGGCAGGCGCCCGACTGCCCCACGGCGGCCGCCGTCGGCTGTCTGCGGCAGCATCTGTTGTCGGTATACCCACTTCGGGCGCCCGAACCAGGGGCAGCCCGTCCGGGGGCGCCTTCCCCGGCGGGGGCGGCTTCGGCGGGGGCGACTTCCCGGGCAAGGGCGGGCTCGCCGCCAGAGGCGACGGTGCCGGCAGCGGGTGCCTCGGAGGCGCGGGCTTCCCGGGCAAGGGCGGGTTCGTCGCCCAGCCGCAGCAGATCGTGGCCCGCCCGATGGTTCAGGCCCGCCCGCCCGCTTTTCCCACAGGGTGCTCGCAGGTCTCTTCTCGCGGTCAGTTCGTCCGGGGTGGTCAGAACCTTGGCGGGCGGGCTCGCGCGAAATCTGGCGCCCTTCAGGCTGGCACCGTTAATCCTCTGCCTTTGTCAGTGGAAATCCTCACAGGAGCGGCCCACATGATGTCCAACGCTTCCAGGGAAAATCCGAAGAGGTGTTCGTATGCGTAGTGCTGTCGCTGATGATCATACACGTGACGTTTGTAATCCCACAGTTGAGATCTCAAGCACCGTGTTTCTCCAGATACAATTACATATATGTATGTATGTATGTGTGTATATATATATATACACACGGGCATCGAAATAATGTGCATGCCTCTCTCGCTATCTATGCGAGGCTTTGGCTGCGCCATGCGTTCTCTCCTGCGTGAGGACTTGCGCGCACTGGTCTGGGGATGATTCCACCCCTTAGTTTTTTGCAGGCTGGCGCCATCACCGCCTTGCGCGCTGGCGTCGCATCGGTTTGCAGGGATTGCTTCCTTTTCGCGTGTGCGCCCTTGGTTCTGCACCGGCGCCCCCGCCGCCCTGATCGCCTGCTTTTTGTTGTGGTACCAGCGTTTTGGATATTGATTCGCTTCGCCTTGGTAGCCACGAGGCGCCTTCCTTGTTTATTGTCGGGTCGGCGCACTCCGCCTTGCACCGCGCTGGCGTGCGTCACCACGTTCTGATGGGTTTGGCTTGATCTTGCTCTGGCGTCCTGGACGCCTTCTGTGATCTCTTCTGGGTATCACCTGCCCTTTCTCGAGGAAGAACAAATGCCATAAACATACACTTTTGGCGCTCCGCGCGGATTTCTTGGATCCGCCCCTGGCGCGCTCCGCGCGCCAGGGAGGGGGTCCAGCGTGGATCCAAGAAATCCGCGCGGAGCGCCAAAAGTTTATGTTTATGGCGTGTATTCTTCTTCCACTTTCCCCCCGTTCAGCGCGCTTGAGTCGTTGTGTCTCTGTCACGCTTTGGGCTGCTTCGGTTCCGTCGTCCTGCGCGCCGGCGCTGTCTTTTCTCTGCTGGGATCGGTTACGCGCAAGAGCGGCCCTCCGCCGGAGTGACCTTGTTTGTGCGGGCCCATAGGGGTCCCACCGGCCCTGGTTGGCGCGCTCGGACTGCGGTGATGTGGCCATCCCCGCGGCCCCCCTGAAGCCGTGCACCAGGGGCCACTCTTGCCCAGGGCCCCTCCTGCGTGCAGCCGAGGGGAGTAGTGCTTCTCCAGGCTCTCGCACTCCCCCGTCTTGACGTGTTGGCGTCGCCTCGGTCTCGGCGGTTGATTTCGCCTCGCTCTGGCGTCCGGGAGGCGTCTGCCTCCTTTTGCGCCCGCCTCCCCCATCACCAGGGTCAATTTCGAACCGATCGGTCCGATTCGGTGTCGATTCCAGCTGGCCCGACCCGATGCGATTCCGATCTTCCGACGAACCGATGCGGCCCGATGCTTGCATGGCGCTATTTGACATTCTGGCCCAGCTGATCCGATTCGATTTCGATTCTGTGCCGATTTAGCCCGATCCGAAGCACATCTCGATTCGATCCGATTTCCCGATCCGATGTTGCCTGATCCTGCCAACCGACTCTCCTATCCCTCTCCCTGCTCATGGCAGAAGCGACTGGCCTCGCGACATTGTTCACCGCTGACCGTCGTCAACCCCATTGACGCACGAATGCATTGAAACATCTTATGGCCTTCATTGGTTTTACGTGAGCTATAGTGTCAGTGTGATGTCAAGGTCCTTCTACAGCAAGACTTCAATCCAAGAGTGCACGTTGTCTTGTTCCAACTGGTTTGTGGGAGTGAGTTGAGCTCCCAAATATCTGCTTTCGGTTCAGTGGTCCAGACGTTCCTCTCTAAATAGACGAGCGGAGAGATGTGACTGACTGACCACAGTGTCTTGTTGCAGGTGCCGGCTGCGACGACATCTATGAGCTCGGGGTTCCCTGCGCAGCTGCCGGCCGCAGCCCCCGGCGCCCAGTACGGCTGGCAGGGTCAGAAGGGCCAGCCGGAGCCTGGCTACGGTCCGCAGGATACTGGCCATGGCCGCCAGGAGTCGGAGAGGAAAACTTTGCATGCACATCAATGTTCGGAGGTCCGCGCGGACATTTCGGATCTGCGCTGGATCCCCTCGGCTTGGCGGCGCCTCCGGCGCCGCGCGCCAGGGAAGGGAGTTCAGCTCCAGTCCAAGAACTCTGCCCGGACCTCCGCAAGCTCATGCTTGTGCCGTCTCTTTCCTTCCTCTAAGGAGGCCGGCTACAGGCGGCAGGATCCCGCACCCGTGCCGCAGGATGCCGACGCGGCGTCCACCATCAGCCAGGCCGTGGAGCAGGCGAGGCTCGCGGCCATCGCGGCCAAGGACGGGGTCAGTTTCGGGCGAGTGGGTCCTTGTCAGAGGGGGTCTCAGACATGTGCGTACAGCAGGTTCGCGTAGTGCCGACCGGCGGCGACCCCAGCGCGGGCATTTAAGGTTGAACGCCGCCCGTGGCCCAGAGTCGGCCCGTTGTTGAACGATCCGGCGTTCATGGAACGGCCGATCGTTCCAGTCTGAACGATCCCCGCGGTGTCAGGAACCAACGCCGGGGTCGACACGACGCGAACCTGTCGCAGTAGCTCGTGCCATCGTCCGTGCGGGATGCGCACGTCGTACTACACTTAAGTCGAGCATGTCCCCCTACAGGACGAAAATTCGAACATTTGTGAAAAAATAGTCTGGGGACGATCTTTCGACAATTGTTCTAACTATGTTGGGCATTTCTAGACTTTTTGTCATTTGTCGTCCAACTTCCGCCTGTGGGGGGACACGCCCGACCTGACACGACGCGAACCTGTCGCAGCATAGCGCGTGCCATCGTCCGTGCGGGATGCGCACGTCGTGCCAACACGTCGGCACGCGGCTGCCGCGCGCCGCGCAAGGGCCGCGCAGCTTTCGGGGTCCCCGTGGGGTCGGCGCCCTCTGCGCCTCCTCGGGCGCGCCGCGGCACCGTGCCTCCCTTCGGGGGCCCGCGTGGATCGGCGTCGGGGCCCTGCCCTGAAGTCGGGCCTGTCCCTCCACAGGGGGGCTCTATGTAAACCTACGACAAAAAAAAGTCGTCTGGGGACGATCTGTTGATTACTTTTTGTTGCCCTTTTTGCAGATCTTTTGAATCTTTCTTGTGTTTCGTCCAAAATCCGCCTGTAGGGGGACACGCCCGACCCAACCCTGCCCCCCGACTTCGGAGCCGCTGCACCGTGGGTGGGGCTGCCGACTCCGCGCATGACGCGCTCGTCGCGAAAGGGCAGGTGTCCCCGAGAGCCGGGGCTCCCACGCCAAAGTGGGAGCGGCTTTGTTTGGGCGCCGGTTTCGGTCCATGGGGGGGCCCTCGCCCGGCCTCGGTGCCGTCCGTGCACGAATCAGGGCGAAGAGGCGGCCCCAGGGAAGTGGTCCAGACCTCCTGGGGCCCACGCATCGAGCAAATCGGAGCAGCCGGATGTCTGGGATTTCGGGATCCCTATAGAGCCCAATCTACTTCAAGCGCGTTCCGACCTCACACATCGACATGTGTTTGTTGTTTGACGTCATTCTTTCGGCGGGCGCGAATGCTGTCTACTTGATCCGCCTTTCTACTTCATGCTCTCACCTACTACTTCTTCCGACTGGCGGGTAAGCATAATGCAACCCCTAATTTGAATAAGGATAACGAACTCATGGCCTTCAGAGGTATCCCTAAGCATGTGGGTGGCTTCGTTTGGCACGTCTGAAACAATACCCCCTATCCCTACTGTTTCTGGCCCTCCTGACGTTGGTCCCCTTCCAAAGGAGTAGGGGTACCTTTGTTGCGTATCGTCGACGGTGTGCCGGAGATGCATCCTAAAAGATGCGGCCCAGTAGGGCGGCAAATTCCGCTTCAGCACAAGTGGGGTGCATAGTTCCGTGTAGAGGTACGGCGGAAACAGCTGCGGCAACGTGGCGCGGAAGTCGGCTTCGATTGCAACATCGGACAGGTCATGACCAGAGCCGCGGGCCCCGCCTTTCTGCGCCGTTTTGTTCGGGCCAGATCGCCCTGTGAGGGCCCCGTGGCCAGAAGCCTTGCGAGAACGCCCGACTCGAACAAGTTGCGACGCCAGGACCTCGGGGCTGAATCGCTGAAGAGCAGGGCGGCACGTGTCACCGTGAGTGCGACACTGCTCAGCAAGCATGAAGTCGGGCGTGTCCCTCTCCAGGAGGAATCTTCCAACATAGTCCAAACAAGGTCGGGGGACGATTTTTCTAGTTTGTTGTGCATTCTTTTTGGATATCAGTTGGGACAACTTTTCACTCTTCGTCCAAAATCGCCCTGCAGGGGGACATGCCCCGCCTAAAACAAGCACGGCGGATCCGAAGCCGGGGCTCGCCCTTGGCCAGGGGCGCGCGTGCCCCGATCCCGCCCGCAGTGCCGACCGCTGTGGCGTCGTCGCGGTGCGGCCCCCCGTGGGCCCAGCGGCCCCAGGAGCAGGAGGTGGAGGAGGAGGAGGAAGAGGAGGAGGAGAAGGAGGAGGAGGAGGAGGAGGAGGAGGTGGGCGTTTTAGCATTAATTGTTTTGCCGATCGGCGCGGGCCCTCGCCCCCCCCCTCCCGCCCCCCCCTTCCCATGGAGCAGAGCTTGGCTGTGTTGTGTCGCCCGTGTCGAGCAGGTGGAGTCCCCCGAATCAGACGGCGCACTGTCGCAACGCTGTCGCACTGAGCAGAGGTCCAGAGCCAGACCCCCCCCTCCCCCCCTCTTCGCTCAATGTCGAAGCGCCGAACAAGAAAACGCTCACGAGTCGAAGAATGTTACGATGGGGCTGGCTCAAGATGGGCTCTAGGAATTCCAGATTAACTAGCGGCGCTCGTTTCACCTGCAGCCCGTGTAGAACAGTATGACATCTATGGCATCTAGGACATTGCTGGAACGCATCATTATCATGACCTCATTCAGGGAAGAACGCGTTGCATAAACATTACCCTTCGGAGCTCCGCGCGGAGTTCTTCGATCGGCGCTGGTCACACTGGCGGCGCCTCCGGCGGCGCCTCTGGCGCCGCCTCTGGCGCGCTCCGCGCACCAGGGACGGGGAAAGCCAGCGCAGATGCAAGAGATCCGCGCGGACCTCTGACGGTTTCTGCTGATGCTTCTTCTCACGGTTCATGCTTGAGTCACGTTGCAGGGGTTCCTAGATTGTCAGGATGCTGTAGTTATCCAGACGGGCTGCAGACATGATGTCCGTTAGATACTCCGGAACTCTTAGGATGTATCCTGAGCCGATCGTGTTGTAATACCGTTGCACCCTCCCTTTGCCGCCACGGCTGGATTCGCCCCTGATGTGTGGTCAGAGCGCAATCTTGGAGAGATTCGGGGAGAAGCAGCATCGTCGTTTGTTAGATCCCCCTTATGGGTCCCCTCCCGGGGGCGGTTTTCTCATCCCAACCCGTCGCGAGATTTGATGTATTGTGTTCCCTATTGGGTAGCAAGTGGGCCTATAGCTCCGCCGTTTAGGCAAAGTGTGGTTAGCCTCTGGGCTTCTGGACTCCATCGCATGCGACCTCGAAAAGTCGATTTTTCTTGCAAGCCTGCAGCTACAGAGGCTGCAGGTGTCGGGATCGTGGACGCAGAGCCCTGCTCCTTCTGCCCACGAGTGAAAAAATGACGGCCCTGGGGCCTGGCGACGGGCCCCCAGAGTCCAGACGCCGCCGGAAGACAAGTCCCGCCGCCTTCTGCTTGATCTCCTCGCGACGCGGGGATGATGATGGTCAGGCCCTGAGATCCGACTTCGGAGAGGAAAACCCAGCGTGAACACAAACTGAGATCCGCGCATATTCCTTGGATCGGCGCTGGGCCCTCCCTGGCGGCGCCTGCGGCGCCGCCCCTGGCGCGCCCCGCGCGCCATGCTGGGGGGCTGGACGCGGACCCAAGACATCCGAGCGGAGCTCCAGAAGTCTGAGCTGGTTCCGTGCTCTCTTCCGAGCCTTCGCGATCAATCCTGACCGGGGCCCCAGGCCCAACCCTTTTGCATGCTGCATTTTTGCCAGCGGGGCACCAGTCTGCGAGGGTCCAGAAGTTTGAGCAGATGCCTTGCTCTTTTCCAAGTCTTCGCGATAAAGCATGACCAGGGCCCCAGACCCAACCCTTCTGCGTGCTGCATTTTGGCCAGCGGGGCACCGGTCTGCGAGGGTCCCGGGGCCCAGCATTTGCAGGCGAGAGCGCCCGGTGTGCACCTGCACGGTCGGCCGAGGAGCCGGACCAGCGCTTCTGGACCAGATTGCGGGGGAGTTGGCACGGTTCCTTTAGCACGTCCGCCCTCCGGCCTTGCTCGGGGGCGACCAAGAGAGGGGTGATGACTAGGGGCGGATATCATGGCGTGGGCCATGCTATTGCCTCAGATCTCATGGCGCCTCTTCTTATTTCATTACGTCTCTGGCCCCCCCCCCCCGGCAGTGCACGTGCTTCCGGCCATGATTTGCGTTCCTCCCTCTTGGACGCCCCCCTCTCGGCCCCCCCCGGCTTACAGACAGGCAGTGACCAAGGTTTGGTTTTTTTGCAAACAGGTTTTGGAAGCGGGCCCACTGTTTCACCACGAGGGGTTTCTGGATTCTTGGTTTAAGGAATGTGCCCACGAGGCTGTAGACCCTGGAGGATTCCTTATCCAATGGAGGCCGCGGTGGTATCCATGGCCTATCCATGATGGGAGTTCCATTGGCTTCCCAACCCTGGATTCCTTCTCGTCCAATGCCCCCGCCGTATCTCAGCGCCCAGATCTCGGGGAGGGGGGAGGGATGGACGCCGCCCTGTGGAGGAGGCCGCGGCCCAGCGCCGCGGCACCGACGGCGCCAGGGACAACAGGTCTCAGGCGCAACGATAGGGGGGGGCAGGCTCAAGTCGGGCGTGTCCCTCTACAGAAGGAGTATTCAAAAATAGTCAAAACATCGTCTGGGGAGGATTTCTCGAGCATTCTTAAAACATGTTAGGCTATGTTTCGAGTTTCTTTGCCCAAAATCCGCCTGTAGGGGGACATGCCCGACCACCGGGTAGGCTCAGGGGGGGAGGCATCGACCCCCACTCGCCCAGATATCGGGGGAGCGTAAGACCCGGGTTTGCCAGGATTCGGGTTCGCCATCGTTCTTTGACGACCGCGCCTCGGATTTTGACGAGGAGGAGTTTCGTGGGATGTCTGCAGCGGGAGGCCTCGTCAAAATGCAGGCTCGGCCTCGCCATTTTTCTGACGACCTCGTCGGGTATTTCCGAGTCTCCTGTACCCAGGTCTTACGTCCCCCTGAACATAGGGCCGCCGATGGGGGCCCGCCAGATCCAGCCTGCCCCGGCCACGGCGGCTTCGCCCGGGGCCAGCCGCCGACGCCTCCGCGAGGCCTCGCCGCTGCCAGGCCCACGCCTCCCCCCCCGCCCCCCCCCCCGTGCCGGTTCCCCCCCCCCAGTGCCAGTCCCCTCCCCCCCCTGTGCCGGTCCCCCCCCAGCGCCAGTCCCCTCCCCCCCCCGTGCCAGTCCCCCCCCCAGCGCCAGTCCCCTCCCCCCCAGTGCCAGTCCCCTCCCATATGGCGCTGCCGCTCCAGGTCCAGGAGCCGCAGGCGGTCCCGGAGCCGGCGGCGGTCTCACAGCCGCGGCAGGCGCGACGCGCGGTCCCGCAGCCGCGGGCGGCGCGACGGCGGCTCGGGCGCGCCGTCGCTGCGCGACGGCCTCGGGCTGGCGGGCGCCGGCGGCACCACCATCAACATCACCGGCGGCATGGTGAGCAGCCGGCTGGTGCTCAAGACGGCGATGGAGCTCGGGTGGGGAAGAGGTGTCAGACAGCGACGTTCAGAGCCCCGAATCATCAGGGGTAACTCGGGTCAGGGCTATCTCGGGTTCGCTGTTCGGGATTCCGAACCCGAGTTGCCCCAGGCCCGAGTTACCCCGGATAACTCGGGCGTCCAGAGCCCCAAATCATCAGGGGTAACTCGGGTCAGGGCTAACCTGGGTTCGCTTTTCGGGATTCCGAACCCGAGTTACCCCGGACCCGAGTTACCCCGGATAACTCCGGCGCCCAAGATGTTGCCGCAAGCCGATGGTTGGCGACGGCGTCGCCTCAAGATGACCTGGATGCGAAAGATTGGAGTGGGCGATGGTTGACTCAGCGACGGCGCCGTTGGCGAACCACTCTCTAAGTGCCGTCGGCGTGCTACCGAGACTTGCTGGCATAATAATCGCTCGCCTGCGGAACCTAATGTTCGTCATTGTTTAGTCTCGAGGTGTCCTCGCGAGCAACTGCCCATGAGAAAGTTTTATCTCGGGCGTGTCCCTCTCAGAAGGAATATTCAAACTAATCAATTCTGTGGACGATGTTTCTTGCGTTTTTTGAAACTATTTTTGATGATTTCTATCGGTTTGATTTTTTCGTCCAATATCCGCCTGTAGGGGGACATGCCCGACCTAAAAGAAAGTAGAGTGTACCGCTGCCCTTGCCTCGTTCTCGCCCTCTTGGGCCTTGGGCCTCCTGGGAGGCTCTTGTCGCCGCGGCCGGATTTGCCTCGACCCGTTCTGGCCAGGACGCACCCCAGGAAAGGCCTGGGGAGCAGCGATGTCGGTGTCTCTTGGCTTCAGGAGCGGTTCGGGCGCGTGGAGGTGTGCCACACGGGCAACCGGCAGAACCCCGTGGGCGAGCCGCCCTGGGTCCGCTTCTCGAGGGCGTCCGAGGCCCAGGCGGCGCTGGAGGCCATCAACTCGGGCCAGATGGTCCTGGACGGCGGGGCCATCCGGGCCGAGTACAAGAAAGGATCGGGGGGCAGAACGCCGGGCAGCCCGGGCAATGATTGCGGGCGGGGGTCCAGCGCCGATGCAAGAACTCCGCGCGGGCCTCCGAGAGGGTAAGTTATGCTCATGCCGTCTCCTGTTCGTCTAGCTGCGGCCACCGCCGCAGCCGTCGTGCTCCCCTCTTCTGCTGTCGCTCCTCATCGCGCGCATGTTCTTGCCCCGCTCCCTCCTGCGCCGTCCTCCTGGAGGTGCCTCTCAAGGTTTACGTCTATGCCGTCCAGGCTTCGACTTATGCTGTTCCAACCTACTTTCGCCCGGATCACCACAGAGAATTTCGAGCACCAAGAGAGCACCGAACCTTGAAGGTTTTCGCATGTCGGGCCCTGGGAGACACTCGTTAGACAGTATTTCGACACTGTTTCGGCACTGCTTCGACACTGTTCTGGGTGCTCGAAATTATTTCAGGGATGTGGTCCTTCTTTTTGGGGGTGCCTCTCAAGGTTTCTGTTTCTGCCGCCTGTGCTTCGCCTCGAGGAGGCGCTCCTCCGATGAGGTCCATGGGCGGCCGGGAGCGCAACCTCGAGATCACCAGCCGCGACATGGCGCGCGAGGGGCTCCGGGCGCCGCCCCGGGGCAGGAGCCGGAGCCGGAGCCGAGGCAGGCCGAACAGGAGCGGGGCGGCGAACGTGTCCGCGTGCATCGGTGATGGGCCCGTTTTCCACCACCGGCAGAAGTTGGAGGGGGAAGGAGGAGCCGGAGCCGAGGCAGGCCGAAGAGGAGCAGGCAGCCACGCGCAGAGGGGGGGGTGGGGGGGAGGGGGGGGGCTCCTCCGAAGCAGCCTCCTTCTGAGAGCCCTCCCCCCCCTCCCCCCACCCCCGTTGTGCGCGCCGCCAGAGCAGGGCGGCAGACATGCCCGTGTGCATCGGGGAGTGAGAGATCTCGAAGAAGAAGAAGAAACCACATAGTCATACAGTCGGGGCCCTGAAGAAGGAACCCTTTTGGTTGGGGAGGGGCTCCGCGTTCCTTAAGTGTTTCGCAGCTTGCCTCAGGGTTTCCTTATGTTTTCGATGGGAAATCGAAGTTCAACTTATGGAATAAAGGGGCCTCGTTCCTTATTTAGGGTTCCTTAGGTCAGCGCCCCGACGGTAAACTGTTGGCGCTCCGCGCTGATTTCTTGGATCCGCGCCTGGGTCCCCCGGCGGCGCCTCCAGCGCCGCCCCTGGCGCGCTCCGCGCGCCAGGGAGGGGTGTCCAGCGCGAAACCACGAAATCCGCGCGGAGCGCCAAAAGTTTATGGTTCTATTCTTCCAAGAACGCCCACCCACACAAGCCGACTGAGGAAACTTGCACTGGTTCACTCGACCTCGTCACTCGAGTGTGCCGGTGCAGCCTCCCCAGCCGATTTGGCTATTCGACGTGCGCGTCGCCGGATTACCTAACATTCTGGACCCCCTCTCCGACTGGGCGCCTTGATAAACCAGACCCTCTAGGCTCCACTCCAAAGAAAGCGCCCTAATAAACCGGACCACACCAGTTACAACAACAACTCCTTAAAAAATTTGACCTGGGGGACGAGTAGCTTGCACCACGCTTCTCACACCATGTAGCTTGCACCGCCAAGCTTGCACGTACACGACGCAGCCTGCACCGCATTCCCGACATGCCGATGGCACATCGATTGCAACATGCGTTTGCTTCTGATAGAAAATCTGACCTCGGCCGCGTCCTCTCCGCAGAAGGAGTCCATACAGTGGAGGCGCGCATCAAGAAGCCAGATGCCTTTCGTCAGGGTGCCCTGGGTTTCTTCGCTCCGCGCGCTGTGCGGTGACTTCCCGAGGCCGTTGAATAGGCTCTTACGTTCAGAGTTCTCTGTGTTCCCCCCATGTACATCGCGCGCGTGCGGGTTCCAGGTTTCTTGCGAGGATTTACTGCGGCCGCGTCCGCCTTGTGCACAACCGCCATGCTCGGCCAACGTACAGTCAACCCGCATAGTATGGATGAGCGACTTTCCAAGGTTACCCTTGCATCCTTGCCCCTTCGGCTTATCACTGGCAACCTTCGCTGGGCAGCCCCTCTCGAAAACCGTCATGATGGATTTCCAAGACCCTTGCATCCGTACTGCGCATCCTTACTATATTGTTTGACTGCAATCCTAGCCCTTGGGGTGGTGTATAGGCCCCCCTGTCCTCGGCAAGAAGGGCACGCAGACCGTACACGGGCCCAGGGGTGGCCTCGGCTTGGCACGGTGGCGGTGCACAGACTCGGCGGCGAGCGGGGGGGGAAGTGGGAAGGAGGGGGTCCTCGCAGAAGGCGGCGGAGTTTCTCAGAACCTCTCCGGCCTTTTGAGAAGTCTCCCCGTGCCTCCGGGGAAGGTTCAGGAAGCTTCTCAGAAGGCCGGGGGACTTCCAGGCCTTCTGAGGAGGTCCGCCCCCTCTTGTTTCTTCCCTGGGCTGGCCGCCGACGGACTCCTGCCGCGTGTCCTCGGACCCGTTCGCGGCGCGCCCCTCCTCGCACGGAGGAGTCGGAGCAGGAGCAGGAGCCGAAGCCGACGGAGGCGATGAGAGGCCTCGCGTGCCCGCGCCATCGTCGGGGGGCAGCGTTCGGGGGAGAGCAAGGCGCAGGAGGGAGCGCATCGACCCGCAATATGCGGCTGCTGCCAGAGGTGGTCCTGGCCGTGGCGTCCCCAGGATTCAAGGGGCCCAAGGACACACAAATAAATACACACAAATAAAATTATGAATTGTGTCTGTGTGTTCTTTCCCCTCCTGAAGGATTGCCGAGGAGGCGTCAACGGCCTCCAGAGCACCACTCACGACGCCCAGAGGGCCCTATAGAGGTTCCCAAGTGGCGCGAAAAGCTGGAAGCACCTTCGGCCAGGGCCACTTCCAGCAGCACCTTTGCCCACGCATCGCCGAAAGAGGCCTGCTAGCCTACCCCGCCCAGGAGTGTGCGGCTTCGCCACCGAGAGCCCATCCTCGCCGATCTATCGGCCATGCATCGCTGATTCCAAGCCGATGCTTCCCTCCCTGGGCCGATCCCCTGTCAGACATCCGATATGATGTGTTCGGTGGTCCCGAATCCTTCCCCAGGTGTAGTTTTACTCCCTGGACACGTGTTTGAAAGTCCCGGGGCCCGAAATGAGGGACAAGCTCAGGGATTGAGAAAACATCTCGTCGGAGACCTTGAGATCAGGCGTTGCGAAACAAACGATCTCGTCGAACATCACGAAGTGAGCCCTAGACCCCCTTTTTCTGCGGCATCATTTGAGCTAGAAGCAAGCGAAGTCACCTGGTGTGAAGAAATTGCAGCGCCCAGATCTCAGGTTTACGTTGGATGTCTGGGGCCCTTCCCCCTGACTTCGGATCCGCCGCAGTTTGGTTGATCCTCCCACATAGTTAAAGCTGTGTTCGACCTGCACCCCGGACGATGCGACCACGTATATGGCGGAAACTGCCGCCTCAGAAAGGTTCGGGCGGATGCCTCCGCGGAGGCGTGGTGGGAACAGCGACCGCAGGGCAGGGCAGAACCGGGCCGGCACCAGAGGCTTGGCATCGCTCGGACGTGTGCATTTTTCCTTCGGCGAGGACCATCGAGGAGCATCCTTGATCATTTGGCGAAGAAGCCACGCACGAAACCGTAAAAAAAACACAGGGAATGGACGTCCGAGCGATGGCGAGGAGGGGGCCCGAGCCGCGGGGCGGGGCCCTGCCGCCCTGCTTTTGCGACATCGCCCAGAGCACGGCGGACCCGGGCCCGTCGTTCCCCCCTGGCGCCCCGCCCGGGGGGCCCCCGCGGCGCTCCTCCTCCTCCTCCTTCTCGTCCTCCTCCGCCTTCTCCTCCTCCTCCTCGTCCCCCTCCTCCTCGTCGTCCTCCTCCTCCTCCTCCTCGTCCTCCTCCGCCTCCTCCTCCTGGCTCGCAGCCGCCGGTGCTATGGCTTCGCGGCGGCCTATCATCGCACGGACGCCCGGCGTGAGGGGCTGTTTCGGTCTTTGGGGCGCTGCTTCATGGGGGAGCGACAGATGGAGGGGAAGAAGGGTGAGCTTTTCGGGCGCCTTTAGGCCCCCTTGTGTGGCCCTCATGGCCCCCCCCCAGTCATCGCCCCCCCCCCCATTGCGCCACGCCCGAAGTCCCTAGCACTGTCTCTGCACGATCGACATTCGGCGGCGACCGAGGGTGATCAGTGAGAAGGAGGAGGCCTTCTCAGAAGGCGGCCGGGCTTCTCAGAAGCCCTCTGGTCTTAATGAGTTTTCTGTGTCTCCGGGGGAGGCTTGGACAATTTCTCCGAAAGTCGCTGGCCTTCCGCCCTTTCTGACAAGGCCCGCCCCGCCTCACGTTCCCCCCCCGAGCTAGCTGCTGAGGAATGGGTACGGAAAGCATGGGTGCGGGGGCGGTGGTGATCAGGGCCTACTATTCTTCGGTCCCTCGCCCTCCCAAAGCTGGTGCAGGAGGTATCGGTACGATCCAGATGGGTACGGAAAGACTGGATACGAAGACCGACTTCATATCTTGTCCGTTCTGAGCACGACTCGCTGCCGGTGTCGCCGCGGACGTGGTCCATTTGAGGCAAAAGGTTGCCTGCCCAACGGCGGCCGCTGCCAGATCTGGATAGCGTTTGTTGTTGGGTATTGTCCCCATTGTTTCCGTACCATCTCTGGCCTGCCATTTGAGTCCTTGAGATTGTCGCGTCGTCAGAAAGCACGACGGGAGGTTTTGATTACCTTCGGCTTTCCGGGGCCCTCGCTGGGCCAGTTCGTGGAGGTTTCCTCGCGTTATGGTGTTTCCCAGCAGCTGCGCCTCGTCGATAGCGTTGTGGCGGGGGGGGGGTGGTGAATCGCCAGGGCCGTCAACGGACAGACGTGTTTTGATTATCAAAGTCAGCCCGCGAGGCCCCCCACCATTGTGTTTCTAGCAATGTGCGGTGGGCAAATTATGTGGGGCTATCTATGTGACGCTTTCAACTATACACAAATTTATACGCATGCGTACATACATACATACGTGCACACATACGTACATATATACATACGTACACACAGACATACATTCATACAAACATGCATACATACGTGTATATCGATCTACATATATGTATACATATACATATATACAGATATACATATATATGTATATTCGGATACTGGGCATTCAATGCCGTCCAATACCTTGTTTCTAGCACGTGTGTTACAATATTTGTGGTCGGTATATGTTGTGCAAGCTACGCAGACCAGTGTAATGGGGAACAATTTATGTGGCGCAATTCGTTCTGAACAACTTGGAGTTGTCAGCTACACTGCTCGCGCAATCACCCCGTCCACCCACCCGCAACTTGGTTTGCAAAACCCATGCGGCGGTGACTGCGACGAGTGTTGGGCGTTGGCTGGTGCATCCGTGCGGCCGCGCTGGCCCGCGCGACTGACGCGGCCGCGGTGGCGCTGACCGTTGGGCAGTTCCCAGCGGGCCGCTCAGTGCCAGTCGGTGCATTGGGCGGGCGCGGTAACAAGGCGACGTCGGCAACGGCACACATGATAATGGCGATGCTGTCGACGATGACAACGATGACGATGGCAAGGCAAATGACGTCGACGGGGCTGATCACACCGATGACGATGACAGTGTTTTCGCGTCGGTGGTGTAGGTTCCAGGAGGAGTCCGACATGCGCGCGCGCCTAACGCTAGCGAGTTGTCCGCATCGCATGTCTGTGACAGGGATCGCGCCCCCCCCCCTCTCCCCCCACCCCACCCACCCCAGCAGCCGCTCAACGGCGTTCAAACGAGTTCGGCACGCGCGCTTGAGAGGCACGTTTGGCAGCATGTGATGGACATGCTGAAAATCCAATGCTTCTTGTCCTTCGTAGTCGCAGCATCACGGGAAAAATGAGACATTGGGGATTCATATTACGAAAACACTGGGCTGCTATATGCTGTATGGACACTCGATTTTGAACTCCTTACGAAGCCACCATTCTTTTGATGGGTTCAGGCATGCGCATGTCGTCCCGTGTGTTCCAGGGGAAAATTGAACAGGTAAGGGTTTTGATAATCGAATGCGCGCACTTTTCCAGAGGGTGGAGGGGGTCGCGAAACGTTTGCATGGGATGATATGGGTTCAGGTTGAAAATAAACGGTTGGGGCAGAACAGTATGTACATTGCAAGACAAACAGGTGGTCCATTAAGCCCGGGGGGGTGGTCCTTATTTCTTTTAGAGAAGAGTCAACGCTGGGCAGTCTATGGGGTCGACTCAATATAGTGCAATATGTGTTGTGCATTCTACGTGGTGATACAGATGTTTTCCATCTTGTTGGCACCAATCTGCGCGATTCAACACGCGTTGTGCACGCTATGTGGTGGAATTGAAGGTGTGGCATTGGTTTTTACAAGCGGGCTGACACACCCCATGCTCTTGCAAACATCCCATCCACCCACCCTCAATTTGGTGTGCAAAACCCATGCGGTGGCGATTGCGATGGATGCTTGGCGTTGGCTGGTGCATCCCTGCGGCCGCGCCGGCCCAAGCGCGCGCGCGCGCAGCGGCCAGCTAGTTTGGCGCGACCAACGCGGCCGCGGTGGCGTTGACCGCTAGGCACATCCCAGAGGGCACTTCAGTGCGAGTCGGCGACTTGGGCGGGCGCGGTATCAGGGCAACGTCGACAACGGTAGACACGATGATAGTAGTAGCGATGTTGGCGGCGATGTTGACAACGACGACGGCGCGGCCAGTGCGGGCGCCGACACTGATCACGACGACGACTACGATGACGGCGTCCTCGCGTCGGTGATGCAGGTTTTGGACAGAGTTCGACATGCGCGCGCGGCCGACGCGCGATAGTGGCCCGCATGGTTTCTTCGACACGGATCGTGCCCCCCCAGCACTCGCGCTGGGGCGCGCAGGTGATTTCGGCATGCGGCGCCAGAGGCCCGTCTGGCAGAATTCCACGAACATGTAGGAAAACCACAAGTTCCCGTAATAATTCGTCAGAGCACGAGCGCACGTCTTCTTTGTGTGTGAAAACTGGTGTTGCGATGCCCTGTGTTCTGTAGGTTTTGTTGGACACCCGGTAAATCGAAGTTTCCTGACGGATTTCGGCATGCGGGCGCGACGACGCGCGCGAGCGCGCACTGCGTCCCAACCTTATGCAAATAATCTCGCGACGGCGCACGCGCAAGGGCGTTCGAACGATTTGGACATACGCGCGCGAACCCGTTTTGTAGCATTTTTCGCACCAGTTGAAAAACCGAGGACTCCCCCCCAGGAATTTGCAACAGCGCGCGCAAGCTTTGCTTGAACACCCGTGGTGCGAAATCCTTTTGTGTGTCGTATGTGTTTTGGACACTCCGACACCGAATGTGTTTGAATGTTTTCGGCACGCGCGCGCGACAACGCGCGCGTGCGCATTTCGTCATTGCATTTTTTGCAAGGGGTTCTTGCACACTGATGGTTTTAAATGAACGGGCGCGCGCATATTGCTCTTTGCAGAAGGTGCCGGGGGGGATATTGGCTCGGCTGGGTTGGTATGACTTCATATGTGGGATCGACGATGGAGCAGAATCGTATGCACATTGCAATGCGCAAAGGGGCAGTGATAATCTCGAGGGAAGGTGGGGTACATTTCTAAAAGAGGGGGTCGTAAATGTGGTGCAACATATGTTTTGAACTCTATGTGGTCCGCTGAATGTGTCTGCGCGGTGCAACCAAAGCTGCGCATGTGCCTTGTGCAACAAATGATATGCAACCCGTGTGCTGCAATCTCTGCACTGCCGTTCATGTTGTGCAACTGATGTGGCGCAACCGATGTGCAACGGCCAGCTAGTTTGGCGCGGCCAACGCGGCCGCGGTGGCGTTGACCGCTGGGCACTTCCCAGCGGGCACCTCAGTGCGAGTCGGCGACTTGGGCGGACGCG